AACATACACCAAATGAAGTGCAGGAATATTATTTGAAACTGCATATTTTAATACATTTTATATATATTGAAAATCACAACGTATTTTATTTATTAAAACTATTACGTTAATGTTTCGCCTTGGGTTACACAAGCCTCCAAATAGTCGATGCGGCGTTCCAGAATTGTCAGTTTTTCGTTGAGCACAGCAAGACGCGATCGACAGGACATATCTGCAAATGTAAAGAAAGAGTAATTTGTTTAATATTCATAGTATATATGTATATTTGTTAAAAAAAAATTCGAAGTCATTGATTTTTCCTATTTTTCCAATTTGCTGCCTTGGCTTATGGCATATTAATTTATAGCACTTCTGTTTATAACAGTCAGAAACGTTCCACCTGCAAGACATGCTGATTATACTTGGTCTCTAGCTCCCCCAAAACAATATATTTTTGAAATTCGATACGCCCCTATTTGTCGGGGCTAACTAACCTTAAGTATGTACATATTACATTAAAAGTTTATAGCTTTTCATACCATATTTGTATTTATTTCAGATTTGCTATGCACTCAGTGGAAATATAGTGATATCTTTACAATGGATATGTAACTTTCCGACAGTTCTAAGTATTGTGCTTTTCGTCTTGCCACACCCACTAAAAATATGTTGACATTTTTATTTACTGCAAACATCAAGTTAATAGCTTCTCTAGGGTGGAATTGTCATGCCCCAATGTGGGCGTTAACAAATAATCAGGCGAGGGTATAGTTAGCGTGCGGACGCACGAATATTACACAAGACTATTATAGATTTCTAACGAGAGTGAAAGAGCTACAAAACCCTCTTTAGCAACATTGGGTACGGTTTAACCTTTTTATTATTCGTAAATTTTCTTCGTCCCTCACAGTGAAATGGGGTGCAGATATATTATTTGTGGCAAATTATTAGAGGTGATAATAGTACTTTATTCTATAAATTTTGACTATCGACGCAAGTATACATTCCGAAACTCAATTTTCTAGCACTTCAAATAACATTGGAAATTATTTTTTTCCGATTTGCCGCGCCCCTCGTGGGCATAACAATAAAATTTTAAAGTTTATCAGACGAATATATATTCCAAAGTTCAACTCTCTGTCCCATTGCGTACAGCAAGAACGAAGCCAATATGCTCACTTCACTTCCTGAATGGAGTATTAAAACGCAGATAAACTTAA